TGGAAGGTTTGTGGGAGGGGATCTGCTCGCTGCTTCCGCGCTGCTTGTTGGCAAGACAGGCAGGTACGGATGGTACGGGCAGGTGCTTAGTTTCGTGCACTTTGCATTTTCAAGTTTAGGACGCGTCTAAGGTTACTCCGATGAAGAGCTCGAGCTGATCCGCGAGATCCCCTATGAGTTGGTAGAACCTGTGGTGGAATGCTGCTCGACGTCGAACTGTGGACAAGATTTGTTTCATGATTCTGCATTCGTGGGCCCAGTTGCTGAGGCTCTTGCGCGCTGTGGACGTGGTGTGCCGTCTCCCCAGCCCATCACATGCGCAGCAACGCATGATGCCTCGGTCTGTGCTCCTTGCTGCACATGCAGGCCAACGCCTTCATGATCCAAGATGTTCCTACGATTGCCGAGCAGGGGAATCCGCAGGCTCATCGCGTTCCCTGAATCTTATCCCATTCCGTGGTCTTGGCGTCGTCGACTTGTGGCGGGTCTCTCCCAGTGTTTGTGTTTGGAGCGATGCGTGCCAGGATGGCATGTGATGGGTTCTGCGGTGCCATCCTCCTTCAAACTCCGCTGGCTGCTGGTGAGGCAATCGAGTTGTTTCGTCAGTGTTTGCAAAGTAGTGAGCCAAGATCGTTTGCTGATGGCCCAAGCAGTGTGGCCACGGTTGTGGCTGAGCCCCGCCGATCAGGAGGGCAACATCTGCTACCTAGACTGCAAGACGGAAGTCTCCGCCCACAAGGCAGCGGAGTTCGGCGCGTTGTCGTCATGGCGCGCGACATCCGGCCTTCACAGGTCCTCTCCTCGCCGTGGGCCTTCCGCGAGCTTCACGAGGTGTCATGCACAAGAACTGGGCTCCGCTTGCCGGAGGCGCTGTACACGGCGCTCTGTCCATGTGTGTCCGCCCTGCACGGCTGCATGCGACCATGGTCAGCGTGGAAGCACCGAAGCCGGACGAGTTTCGGTTCCGCTGCATCCCCGACACGCGGGTCGACCACAAAGAAGTCTTCGTCACTGCCGTCGACATCGGGTTTCATACTCGAAACCACGATGGACGTGGGCCAGAGCAAGATTTTCGTTTGGGCGGGTCAGCAATGATCTTCGTGGGAGCCGGCACTCAGATCAGCATGGCTGCTTTGGATTGACTCCTTGCGGAACGGATTCTGGGAGGAGCAGCAGCTGTGGCCAACGTTCGG